TATGATATCTTCAAACATATATTTTATTCAAAAATAAAAACATCATCGCATTCTCAAAATCACATAAAGCCATATTATAACATCGACTGAGATAAATAATAAAATAAAATATTAAAATCACGATGTATCTCGCTGCATTGCGCGAGTACGCTTCTAGTATATATAAAATGAAGTTCTGTTAAAAACCAAAAGTTGATGAGGAACCTGGAAACCGTCTACAACACGTCATGTATCCCTCTTAAGGATGAATATTCATCATAAATAACACATTCATGATGAATATGGAAGTGTTATTCACCATGAATCACACATCCAAGATTAATATTGACATGTTATAAACGCATTATTCATCATGAACCACACATTCATGATCAATATGTTCCAGAGTTCTTAACCAATTATATATATATATATATATATATATATATATATATATATATATATATATATAAAATATGCGTATTCAAATGCATTACCTAGTTCAGAAATTTGAATAGTTACATATCTGAAAAAGTATAAGATCCAATTAACGTCTTAGTTTACTTGTAGGTACAAGAACTTCTTGATCATGTTAATCAATGTTGTGCACGTGAAGAGCCAATAAATATGGGTGTAGTTGTGTTTACTACAACACTCAACATTTTCTCCAACTTCTTGTTCTCTTTGGATTTCGCTCAATATGATTCCGTCTTGTCACAAGAATTCAACGATGCAATACGTGGTTTGATGGAAGTTGCCGGGACACCTAATCTAGCGGACTTTTTCCCAATGCTAAAGTTGTTCGATCCACAAGGTTTAGTACGACGTGGAAATGTTTATGGTAAGAGGATGTTGGCTATTTTTGATAAAATCATTGATCAACGGCTTCATACAAGATCAAATTCATCGTCATGTGATGGTGTTTCATCGAGAAAGAATGATGTTTTGGACTCGTTGCTCGACATCAACCTAAACGGTGAATCCGGGTCATTTAATATCAATGACATGAAACACTGGTTTTTGGTAAGTATATCCATCACCATGAAAAAGGTCTCCTCATATATAACATATATACATAGGTTGGGTTCACGTGAGACCAAAGGTTTTTCGTGAGACCCGTAAGACCAATTTATGTTCATTGATCAACTTTATAAGCTAATGATCTAATGGTCTAAAGTTGCACGGTGACAATTTTGTGATTATTGAGAAGTCTCGTGGCAATTTTGTGATTATGAATGTTCAGATTGTAGATTTAATCCAAGGGTTGAGAATTGGTCTTACGGGTCTCACGAAAAACCGTTGGTCCCACATGATCCCAAGTCTATGTAACACACACACACACACACACACATATATATATATATATATATATACATAGACTTGGGATCATATGAGACCAATGGTTTTTCGTGAGACCCGTAAGACCAATTCTCAACTTTTGGATTAGATCTACAATATGAAAATCTAAACATTCATAAATGCCACGAGACTTCTCAATAATCACAAAACTGCCATCGTGCAATTTAGACCATTAGATCATTAACTTATAAAGTTGATCAATGAACATAAATTAATCTTACGAGTCTCACGAAAAATCTTTGGTCTCACGTGAACCCAACCCTATATACATATATACATACACACACACACACATATATATATATATATATATATATATAACAGGTTTGTTTTAAATTATCGACAAAAAGATAGATTTAACATGATCTATAGCTATTATATAACTAGTTTTCCTTGTGTAATCTAAAAAGATATTTAACTCAATGGCACATAGACTAAGTTTTTGGTAAGAAGAGCGATTGGTTCGACTAATAATGTTCATAAATTATTGTAGGATTTATTTGTTGCGGGAACTGATACGACAGCAACCACGTTGGAGTGGGCAATGGCTGAGCTTATTCGTAACCCAGATATAATGAAAGCGGCTCGATTGGAGGTGACCAAACACATGCAAAGCAACAACAGAAATATACAAGAATCAGATATCACTCGACTCCCATACCTACAAGCTATTGTAAAAGAAACTCTCAGGTTGCATCCTCCCGTCCCTCTTCTCGTCCCTCACAAAGCCATACACGATGTAGATGTCCAAGGTTTCATCGTGCCTAAAAATGCACAAATTCTTTGTAATGTCTGGGCAATGGGGCGAGACCCAAACGTTTGGTCTAACCCAGAAATGTTCATGCCAGAGAGATTTTTGGAAGTCGAGATCGACTACAAAGGCCATGATTTCAAGTTCATTCCGTTTGGTACTGGGAGGAGGATTTGTCCGGGATTGAATTTCGCTCATAGAATGTTACATATAATTATAGGCTCTTTGATTCACAAGTTTGATTGGAAGCTTGATGGGAATGTAAGTGCACTAGATATGGACATGGAGGAGAAGTTTGGGCTCACAATGCCAAAAAGTGTACCCTTAATGGCCATTCCAATCAAACACTAATCACTACAACAAAATAGGGTTTATAGGGCACTCCTAAATTGTAAGTGTTTTAATAGACCTCTTTATATGACTTAGTTTATAGAACCAAAAAAATAAAGTGTCCTATCTAATGGTGTTGTATTAAGTCTATATGACATTTTTTGATGTCGTAATAAGTTTTTTAGGACACTTTTAATATAAAGCATCTCATTATCAACTTTATACGACACTATTTGAAAAAATGTCCTACAAAAAGAAGTGTCCTATAAAAAATTGAGTTTATAGGACAATTTCTCAAAAGTGTCTTATAAAGTTGTTAATGTGACACTTTGTTTTAAAAATGTCCTTAAAAACTTGTTAAGGCGCTCAAAAGTGTCGTCTAAACTTATTACAACGCCTTTAGATAGGACATTTTATATTTTGGTCTTATAAATTAAGTCCTATAAAGCAGTTTATTGAGATACTTAGAGATTGAGGGTGTCCTATAAACCCAATTTTGTTGTGGTGAATGATTTTAGATCATTTTACTTGTGTGTTTTTGTGTGTAATTGTTTCATCTCCTACAAAACCCTATCATCTTTGTCATTTTAGCGTGTGTTTGTGTATGTAAAACAAGAACCTGTTACTTTCATATTTCATCGAGAACCAATCAAGACTCGATTAAAAATTCTTTGAGACTGATTCTTGTCTCGCTCTTACCAGGTAAGATTCTTGGTCCTTACTATGTTCATCCGGTGAGGTAATTTTACTTGGTGACACTCTTCTGCACTGGCTGCTATGCCTCCTGCTAAAATCAAACCAAACTGGTTTGGTGACACCTTCCTCAAAAACCCATATTCGTTGACGTATTTCCTGCGTAAGTTAACGAAAGTTGACCTTTTTAATGTCCACCCGTCACTTTTAGGCGGAAAATTCTGCCGGAAATAGTCAGTTTTTGGTAGTGGTGCTGCGGTGAATTAATGTCTTCTTGGACTTGCATTACAATCTATGTCACTATAAGACAAAAAAACATTTTATCTAAAAGTGTTATAATGGGTTTATAAGACGTTTTTGGACGTCTTTACAAATTTTTAGAGCACTTTAATAACATAACACTATTTGAAAAAATATCATATAAAAGATGGGTTTATAGGATATTTCTCATAATTGTTATATAGAATAGCTAATGCGACACTATATTCTAAAAACGTCATAAAAAATTTGTTGGAACACCATAAACTTCCTATATATATACATATATATATATATACATTCATACACTCACACACACACACATATATATATATATTGTAATACTTTGTAGATATATAATGTTGTATATTTTGCACCTATAAACTTAAGTTTGATTTAAAAAGTATCATATTATGACACTTAGGGGCCGTTTACTAAACACTTATCCGGTAAGTGTTTACCGGTAAAAATTAACACTATCATTCACTTACCGGGTAAAATTTTAATCCACCAAAACGCCATCGTATACAACAATTTACCTAGTAAGCACTTACGTGGTAAGAGTTGTTACCCTCACTTACCGGGTAAGACTCTTGGTCCTTATCTCGCTCTTACCGGGTAAGATTCTTGGTGTTTACCATATCCATCTGGTAATGTAATGTGATTTGGTAAGCACTTACCCGGGTAAGCGTTTAGTAATTAAATAGCCCCTTAGACATTTTAAGCGTCCTATAAATCCAATTTTATTGCAACGTTCACAAGCAACAAACTAGGCCTATGGATCGAACCAGCTTCTTTTGTCACTTAACACAACAAAGCATCAAGCCAACATGCCAGGGAAAGGAGAATCGTGTGAGAATAGGAGTTATAGTGAGAAGGATCTGGACCCTTCATCACATTTAATTTCACCTCAGCCAATGATTTGCGCTTATCACAAGAATAGATCGTGTGCATCTCGGTGCACTATATTAATTAGTATTGATCTTCAATTATGATTGATTCAAGAGTATGAATCCCTTCTCACCCTTCTCACTATCTGTTCTAATCGAAACCTAAGCCGTTTCAAGGGCACCGATGCTTATCGATATAGAAAACGCTAATAGGAGGAGTCGATTTCAACTATAATTTTTTTCCCTCTTCCAAATATCCCACCAATTTTGTGAAGAAAATGATATAAATGTTCAAAATAAAATAAAAATAGGAAAGTTTCTGGATTTTTGTGGTAGTTGGCCTATTGTGAAGGTCAATATGTAGAGAGAGGATGATTTGATATGGTTTGGATTTGAAGAGAAAATAATGCCACCTTCAATTCTCAGATATTTGAGGGTTTGTTTGGAATGATATATATAGAAACGTTCAAATGAAAATCATGCAATTCTTAGAAATTAATTTTGATCAATAGGAAAATTCCATTTTTTTAATTAAATTTAATCATTAAGGGTATATTGGTCATTTGCATTGTTTTCTGTTAAATACGAAAATTATTAATAAATCTTAATTAAGACAACATAAGAAAGGAAATTTTATAAATGGTAACATTTAAATATTTAATTAAATTATAATATTAAAAATTGGATTTTGTTATATTGTGTTTCGATTTATTATTGTCAAGATTCATGAAAATCATAAGTTATTAGAGTAATAAATCCATGAAATCAGTAGTAGAATAAAAAGAAATATTCATGAAAGCGGTTTCATACATGGTAAAATTGGTGCATGGAGTAAGTGAAAATGATTATAAAATGGGTGCATGATGAAACCGGTTTCATATATGGTGAAATTGGTGCACAGAGTAAATGAAAATGATTGTGAAATGGGTGCATGATGAAACGAGTGCATCATGAAATGGGTGCATCATGAATAGGGTGCATGGGGATATCGGTGTGTGATGAGGTTTAAGATGCATGAAATGGGTGCATGATGAATAGTAAAAATGTTTCATGAAACAGGTTCATGAGGTTTAAGATGTGGATGGGTTTACCATTTTGCCCTTCTCGTTATTATAAAATAAAAAATTTAATATATTTTTTTATTTCCTAAAATAAACTAACCATTGATCAAAAAAATGGATGGATGAGATTGGTTTACATGGTTTACACAAATGGGGGCGGTTTTCATATGATCGCTCATCTATATATGTATATATATATATATATATATATATATATATGAGACTAATCAAATGAGAACTAATTAGTTTGTGGTAACCGTGAGGTCCAATCTCAACCACAAATCAATAGATATATTAGTAAATTTATAATTTTAATAATTTTTAATTAAAATTTTAATGCAAGGGCAATTTAGGTATTTTCTCTTCTATCTCCGTTCTTTAGCCTCTGGCCACCATCCTCCGGTGATACCACAGTGGTATCACAATGCATCTTATATGTGATTGGGTATCACACTGTGGTCATTTGTGCGATCGATCGGATATGTAACACAGTAGTATCACAATGCATCTTATATGTGCTTGAGTATCACACTATGGTATCATCAGAGGACGGTGGCCGGAAAACGGGGACGGAGAGAGAAGAGAGGAGAGAAAATACCTAAAATGTTCTTGCATTAAAATTTTAATTAAAAATTACCAAAATTAAAAATTTTCTAATTTATCTATTGATTTGTGGTTGAGATTGGATCTCACGATTACCACAAACTAGTCAGTTCTCCCTTGAATGAGCCCCTATACATATATATATATATATATATATATCTATATATATATATATAGAGAGAGAGAGAGAGAGGTTCAAATGAAAACCGTACAATTCTTAGAAACCCTGTAAACTAATTTCGATCAATAGAAAAATTTTATTTTTTTAATTAAATTTAATCATTAAGGGTATATTGGTCATTTGCATTGTTTTCTATTAAATATGAAAGTTATTAATAAATCTTAATTAAGGTAACATAATAAATGAAATTTTATAAATTATAACATTTAAATATTTATTTAAATTATAATATTAAAAATTGGATTTTGTTATATTGTGCACGGTATATTATTGCCAAGATTCATGAAAATCGTAAGTTATTAGATTAATAAATCCATGAAATCAGTAATAGAAAAAATATATTCATGAAATCGGTTTCATATATGATGAAATTGGTGCATGGAGTAAGTGAAAAATAATAATGAAATGGATGCATGATGAAATCGGTTTCATACATGGTGAAATTGGTGCATTGAGTAAGTGAAAATGATAATTAAATGGGTGCATGATGAAATGGGTACAACATGAAATGAATGGATAATGAATAGGGTGCATGATGATATGGGTGCGTGAACAATCTCATTAGACAAGTGAAACAGGGTGCATGATGAATAAGGTGAGAAATTTACCATAATAGGATGCATGATAAATAGGGTGATGAATAGGGTGCATGATGAAGATGTGGTTGGATTTACCATTTTGCCCTTCTTGCTATTATAAATTTTTTTTAATATATACATTTTTTAATTTCCAAAAATAAACTAAACTAGTCTTGACCATTGATCAAGAAAATGGATGGATGAGATTGGTTTACATAGTTTACACAAATAGGGGCGGTTTTCATTTGATCGTTTCTCTCTCTCTCTCTCTCTCTCTCTCTATATATATATATATATATATATATATATATATATATATGGGATGTTTGAAATGTTAACCAAGTTTATTGTGTTAACACTACAAGAGGAATAA